GCTTTAATGACCCTGTGTCAAATACTTAACCTTTATAAGCCTCAGTTTCTTCATCTGGAAAATGGAGATAATACTTGCATCACCTACCTCACAAGGTTCTAAACGAAATACCTTATAAACACTAAAGTTGATATAAATGGAAGTTGCTGTTATTATGTCTTTCATATTTGATCTTCTCAACATCCTTGTGAGTAAGCCGTAATAACAACTACAGAATGAGGTATAGATTATCCCCATCATACTGTCTGCTAATGAATCCTTGCACCAAAGATGCTTTCTATGGAGCCTACAGAAGATGAGCTTAGATCCTAATACTTTTAGTCACTAGGTGGCACAGTGAATACAACCCTAGGCTTGGTATAAGGAAGATCTGAGTTCAAATCCAACCTCTAACACTTACTAGCTGTGTGACCCTGGGCAAGTCACTTAACTCTGTTTGCCTCAGTCTCCTCACCTGCAAAATGAGCTGGAGAGGGACATGGCAAACTACTTCAATATCTCTGCCAAGGAAACCCCAAATGGGGTCACGAAGAATCAGACGCAACTGAAAACGACTGAACAACAGAAACCCATCGTAGGTTCCAAGCTAAGTAGGGCCTCAGAAGCCATCTCCTCTCCTTCTTTCCCTCACTATTTTACAGATAAGGAAACTGGGACTCAGAGAGAAGTGATTTGCCCAAGGTCACCTGGATAGTCAGTGGCAGAGCCGGGATTCAAACCTAGAGCCCACAAGACCACATCCAGGGTTCTTCCCATCACACCATCTTCCTAACTTCAAGCCTAGCACCAACAGGCTATGCACCCTACCACGCTGTCTCCAGTAATCACACCTCACACATCCATAATGCTTTGCAGTCTAAAAAGCACAATCCTCACAACCATCCCGTCAAGTCAACAAGCATTTTTTAAGCTCCTGCTATGTGTCAGGCACCGTGCTAAGTGTTGAGGATAAAAAGACAAAAAATGCCTGAAGTCAGGAAATGGAGCATCTTGTGTGAGCGATAGGCAGGAGGCCAATGTCACTGGATTAGAGTATGTGGAGGGGGGGTGAAGCGTAGGAAGACTGGAAAGGCAGGAGAGGGCCAGGCTGCAGAGTGTTTTGACAGCTATAGGGTTACATATGAGACCAGGAGGCAATAGGTAGCCACTGGGATTTATTGAATAAGGGAGATGACACGGTCAGGCCTATGCTTTAAGAAGATCACTTAGATGGCTGAATGATGGCTTGGAAGGGGGAGACCAGAGGCAGGCAGCCTCAGATGTGAGATGACAAAGGCCTGCACCAGGGTGGTACCAGTATCAGAAGAGAGAAGGGGGCGTATATAAAGGATGTCACCCTGTAAAGCAAGGGACACAATTTTATTAGCCCTATCTCACAGATGGAGAAACTGAGGCTCCAACAGTTGCTTTATCTGTCACATTACTAGTGAGGGAGGGAGCTACAATTCAAACCCAGATCTTATTCTGGAAATCTCATGCTCTTTCTGCTACAGATGGGAAAATCGAGGCTTAGGGAGCTTGGACTATAAAAACGACACCCCAGAGCGATTCAGGGAGAAGCTAGGACTAGGGTGCGAGGCTTCCGACTCTGCCCACTATTCAACCGACCAGGGCATTCTTCATTAGACTAGTGATGGAGATCGTTCTGTCCTTCCAGATGTCAGGAAAGGGATGGTCATGAGTGAGGGAAGTGGCTGCCCCTCCCCCAACCTGCAAGCCCCAACCCCGAAGTTCATAGGTTGTCCTCACTGCTGAAATTGTTGAGGCTGGCAATAGTCCAAGTCTCTTTCCAGACCAAGGCAATCACATCCGGTCAGGCCCCCTGAAAGCCCTGGCTCTGTTGCCTATAGCAACCATGCCCACACCCCCTTTCACCCTCTAGCTGGCTTCCATCCCCATCAGTAAATTAAGGCCTGCTTCTGCTCCCCACTCCCAGCCAAATCATAGCCCTGGCTTCTTGGCGCGTCTGCAGCTGCAGACCCTAAGCCCCAAACGTTCCAACCAAGAGGAAGAGAATATGCAGGATCACGGAATGGGAAGGCTTGAAGGACCCACAATATCACGAGCTCCAACCCCCTCATTTCCCAGATGAGAAAACCGAGACCTGAGAAGGGAAGTGGGACCTCAGGATCTCAAGAGGTAGAAGGAACCCCAGGTAACACCTGGTCTATGATCCGTTCCATGCTTCCAGAACAAAAATACCCTCTGACATGATGCTGACTAGTAGTTGCCTAACCTCTTCCTTTTCTTTTCTTTCTTTCTTTTTTTTTTTTCTGAGGCGATCAGGGTGAAGTGACTTGCCCAGGGTCACACAGCTAGGAAGTATCTGAGGCTGGTACTTTATCCACTGCAGCAGCTAGCTGCCCCCACCTAACCTGCTCCTAAAGACCTCTGATGGTGATGAGCTCATTACCTCTTAATGCAGCATTTTTCACTTTTGGGAAGTTCTGATTTGGGGACACTTTTTTTCCTTCTGGCGTGAAACCGAGATTATTCTCTGCACAGTTTCCACCCAATATTCCTCAGGGTCAAGCAGAATGAGTCAAATGTATTCCCTCCCCATGACAGCCCTTCAAATACTTTGAAAACAGTTGTCACTGAATGGAAGCTCCTTGAGGGGCTGTTATTTTGGTCTTTGCATTTCCAATGTGATTGGAGATAACAGAGGAGTTGTCATGTAGCAACTGCTCAGTCAAAGCTCATGGATTGATGGACCTCAGACCCAGAGGTCTTTTCTCCCCTGGTTGAAAATCCAGCCCCCTCACCATCTTTTTCCTAGAACGTGGACACTCCCCCAACGCCCTAGAACAACATTGCAGGTGTGGCTTGAGGAAGACGATGCATCACCAGTGTTACCTCCCTTGTTAGGATTGCTGGAGTTGGTTTTCTGTGTGTGTTTGGCTAGATGTGATTTCATTGGAGTAAGGAGGGGCTTCCTGGTATGGAAACTCTTTCCAATGGTGCAGATTAGCAACTCATTTGCAACCTAAGTCTTAGAAAGTTGTCCAGAGGTACAAAAAGGAGAAGTGACTTGCCCTGTGGGACCAGAATTCAGGTCTTCCTGGCCCTCCCAAGCCACTAAGCCCTTCTTTCTGGTTACCATGGTTCCACTTACCAAAGCCTAGCATGGCATTAGCATCATGTCACACTGTTCACTCATCTTGAGCTTGCAGCCCATTAAAACCCCCAGATCTTTGTCATGGGACTGTCATCTGACCCATCTCAGAATCATGAGAGTGATTCTTGGAAGCAAAGGATGGACTTCGACATGACAGATAGCAACTAGACTTGGGGTTTCACTGGCTTCCTTTAAGCCCCAATTAAAACCCCATCTTCGATCCGAAGCCTTCCCTGACCCTCTGAATTCCAGTGCCTTCCTGTTAATTATTTCCTACTCATCTTGTATATAGCTTGTTCGCATAGGTTTGTTCGAGTGTTGCCTACTCCATTAGACTAGAAGCTCCTTGAGGGTAGGGACTTGTCTTTTGCCTCTTTTTGCCTCCTCATGGCTTAGCATAGTGCCTGACATACAGTAGGCACTTTACTTACTGGCATAGGGAACTCTCTTCAGCAATGGAGATTGGGCCATTCTCTCAAACTTATAGCATTCGGAGAACTGCCTAGTACACAGAGAGGTTATGGAATTTGCCCAGGGTCCCATAACCAGCATATGGGTTGACTTTGAACACAGATGTTCATGGCTTGGAGTCCAGCTTTCTCTCTACTGTGCTATGTCGCCTTCCATGATACACTTGGAAGCACATTATCTATATCTTTATCCAAGTCATTGATTAAAATGTTGAATGGCGTAGTTCCAAAGAGACAGATCCCTGGGGCACTCCACTAGAGACTGACTTTCAAGCTGACATCTGTCCAATAACAACTACTTGGGGAGGGGCAGGGAACAAGTATTCATGAAGTACCTACTATGTGCCGAGCACTCTGCAACCAGTGCTTTAGCAATATGATCTCCTTTGACCCTCACAACAACCCTGGGAGGTAGGTGTTTTCACGATCCCCACTTTACAGCTGAGGAACCTGAGGCACAGAAAGGTTAGGTTATTAACTAAGGTCGCACAGCTAGTAAGTGTCTGAAGCTAGATGTGAACTCGGGTCTTCCTGACTTCAGGCTCAGAGTTCTATCCCTTCAGCAAACATTCAACCACTCCCAGATCGCTGAATTATACTATCCTATAGCACAGCAGTTCTCAAACTTTTTGGTCTCAGGACACCTTTACACTTAGAAAAATTACTGAGGATACTCTCTCCCAAAGAACATTTCTTTATGTGGGTTATATAATCTTAGTATTATTATAAAAATAGTTTTGACCTTGAGGATCCCCGGATAAGTCTCAGAGACCCTCAAAGGTCCATGAACTGCACTTTGAGAATCACTATTATAGCCCATGGAGCAGCTAGGTGAACGCCACAGCGCAGAGTGCCTGGTCAAGAGTAAGGAAGACTCATCTTCATGAGTTCAAATCCGAACTCAGACACTTAACAGCTGTGTGACCTTGGGCAAGTCACTTAACCCTGTTAACTTTGCCTCAGTTTCCTCATCTGTAAAATGAGCTGGAGAAGGAAATGGCGAGCCACTCCAGTATCTTTGCCGAGAAAACCCCAAGTGGGGTCAGAGTCAGATACAACTAGAAAATGATGAAACAACAATAACAGAATTGTAGCGTATTCCCTTCAGTCTTGTCCACAAGGCTAGAGAGCTGGAGAGGCGATGTCAAAGGTCTGGCTACTTTGCCCTAGAGCACCCAAATCTTCTCCCTGGCCAGCTGCGGGCCCAGACAAGCCCCTCCTAGCCCACTCCACAAGCTCCTTTAGTCACCTCTCACACCCAAGAGCAACAGTAAGGACGTTCCTCTTGGGGAAGGGGGGGCTCTATCCCTGATCCTTCTTGCTGCAGAGCCTGGATTCCTCTGCGCAAACATCTGTGCACCCAGGCGGGGCTAGAAGGGACCCCAGCCCAAGCTAAGGAAGCGTAACCCAAATACAGACATCAACTATGCCTTTATTATTGTCTCTCCCGATGCACCAATATATACAGACTTTATTTATACATAAATAATATACACTATATATACTTATTTATTTATACAGAGGCACGCATCAGTCTCTCTCTCTCTCTCACACACACACACACACACACACACGCACACGCACACGCACACACCTCCTTACACAAGCACGCATCTTTAGAGAGATGAGCTTTGTAAAATCTAATCCTGCCCTTGAGACCGTGAGGACAGTACTTTGATTGGCAGTTATGGTGTCATATATGTATATATATATACATGCATATATATATATACACACATATATAAAACATATATATATTTATTTTAAAAGACCCATTTTCTCCAAAGATTCCCTCCCATACCTAGAATCCCAAACCAAAAAAGAAAAAAAAACACCCTTTGAAAGTTTTTTTGCTTTGTTTTAAAAACAGTTTTCTCCCCCTTCTGCCAAGAGAGCTCCTCAAGCCCTATTTCACCCTACAAAGCAGCTGGCATGTGAAGAAGTCACTTCCTTTCCCAGTTTGACCCCAGACTGACAGAAAACTAGAGAAAAGGGCACTGTGGGAAATCAATGCCCAGGTAGGCCAGGGTGGCATGATGCCAGTCCCAGAGCAGTGCAAGGCACCGTGGGAGAGAAGCAGGAGTGAGCAAAGTTGGTGGAGGGAGGGTGGGCTAGATCATCAAGGGAACCTGCCAGATGAGCAGGTGCTGTCTGTCTCGCTGCCCAAGGCTGGCCTTCCACCACCACCAAAGTTGCGGTAGCCCTGCCCTCCAGAGATGATGGCGACTGAGGAGATCTCCTTCCGGTGAGCATCCCGGGCACAGGGCCGGCTGCGGACCCAGATATCAGGGTCATCGGCCATCTCATAGATAGAGCCATCTTCCTCGCTGTGGGCCAGGGCTGTCCCGTTGGGGTCTGGGGGGTCGCGTACCGAGAGGAGGGGTCCTGGCAGGTGTGCCGTGGAGCGCAGGCGGTACTGAAGGAGGATGCCCTTTTTATGGACCAGCTCTCGGGCCAGGTGGCTATCAGGTGCAGGCGGAGGCTCGTGGGATGGACCCTCACCTTTCTCCTCCTCTGCCTCATCCTGGTCACTCCTCAGGATGTCTGGAGCCAGGGTGCTGGTGGCCACAGCTAGGAAGTCCACTGGCCCACAGTGACCATTGAGGGAGACCATGCCCTTTCCTGTAGGGATGGAGGAGAGTGGGCAAGGGGTGACTATTACAGACAAATGATGGTGCAAGGATTTACAGCTAGTACATCAAAGCACAGAATGTGACAGCTAGAAGCCACCGTGGAATGTCAGAGCCTTCCTGGGGCCTTAGAACAGAGGATGTCAGAGCTGAAAGGCCTTAGAACACACAATGTCAGAGCTGGGAGGGCCCTTAGAACACAGAATATCAGAGCTGGGAGAGCCCTTAGAACAGAGGATGTCAGAGCTGGGAGGACCCTTACAACAGAGGATGTCAGAGCTGGGAGGACCCTCAGAACAGAGGATGTCAGAGCTGGGAGGACCCTCAGAACAGAGGATGTCAGAGCTGAGCGAGACCTTAGAACAGAGGATGTCAGAGCTGGGAGGGCTCTTAGAACAGGGAATATCAGAACTGGGAGGGACCTTGGAGATAATGTAAGCCATCACATAATCCCTCATTTTATGCCTCACAAAACCAATAACTTATATTTCTTTAAGGTTTCTAAAGTCTTCCCCACAGCCCTGCAAAGCTGGCAGTACCAAAACATTACCCCTGATTTTTGTTTTTACTGGGCCTATAATTTTATTGGTAAAGAGATCTCCTAGGTAAGGAACCTCCCTCAGCAATGCAGCTCAGCACATACTCTGCAATTTCATAGTTTTTGAGAGCTGCCCAAGACCTTGAAAAGTCAGTGGACTTGCCCAAGGTCACACAGCCAGTATGTGGGGAAGACAGGATTTGAATCCAGACCTCCTGACTTTAAGGCCAACTCTATCTACTCTGCACACAGTTGCTTTTCTTTTTTACCAATAAGAACATGAAATCCCAGAGGGGCTTGTGTAATTGAGTCATAGATAATTGAAAAGAAAGACAATTTAATTTCTTAATTATGGTATCTAATGCTGGCCTTAGTTCCACCACCCCCTTACTTTACAGGAAAAGGAAACTGAGGCTCAAAGGACCAAGTTATCCCCAGGTGGAAAGGAACCAAGCTGGGACTAGAGACAGACCTCCAGTAGCAACGCTCTTTCCCCTACCCTACAATGGAGAATTCCATCACTGACACTAGGGTTGTTGGGGTTTCTTTGATAAATAGAATCAGGGATGTAGATTCTCATGGAGTGTAAAGGGAGGGTCCAAGGGATGGCATTGCTAGGGGTCTACCCAGTCCCCGCCTGTCTCTGTTCAGGGCCTGACTCAGCAAAGGTGCCGACGTCAGCAGTCCACACAGGAGATAGTCAAGGACATGGCATGGTCAGTGCCAAGGAAAGGGCACACAGCAGGCTTCAAGCACCTCAAAGACCACCTGGTCTGGAGGCCTGGATGCAGAAGACCCAGAGTCACATTCTATTAGGGCACGTGCTAGCTGTGGGACTTTTCACTCTCTGCATGGCATCTAAAATGAAGGGAAGTAGCAGAGATTCTATAAGGCTGCAAAGTAAAGCAGAAAGAATACTTGCTCCAGAGTCAGAAGATCTGAATTCAAATCCCACTTCCGATAGTCGTGACCTGTGTGACTTTGGAAAGTCACTTAACTGCACTGGGCCTCAGTTTCCTCAGCTGTAAATATAGAGGTGTGGAACTAGCTGGTCTCTCATATCCCTTCCAGCTCTACATCTATGACCTTGATCCTGTCAAGCCCTAGAACATAGGGGTGGGGAACCTGTGGCCTCGGCCTCTAGGTCCTCAAGTGCAGCCCTTTGACTGAATCAAACTTAAAAGGACCAATCCTCTAGGTCCTCAAGTGCAGCCCTTTGACTTAATACAAAATTTACAGAACAAATACCCTTAAGAAAAAGGATTTGTTCTATGAATTTTGGATTCAGTCAACGGGATGATAACAAACAATCCAGAAACACTTATTAAGCACCTCCTATATACCACACACTGTGCTAGGCACTACAGATACAAAGACAGAGATAAAACAGGCCATGCCCTGAATGAGCTTTTGTTCATATATAGGGGATATAACAAAGAGAGAGAGAGAGAGGGAGAGAAGGAGGGAGGGAGGAAGAGAGGGAGGATGGGAGGGAGAGAGACAGAGAGAGAGAGAGAGAAAGAGAGATCAATAGATACAAGACAGTTTGGCTGAGAGGTACTAGCAGCTGGAAGGGGGTTGGGAGCTCAGGGAGAGAGGGACCAGGAAAGGCCTCATGAAGGAGATGGAACTTGATCTGAGCTTTGAAGGAATCTAAGGAGTCTAAGAGTCAGAGGTGAGGAGGGAGGGCATTCTAGGCATTGGGGACAACCTGTGCAAAGGTCTGGAGATGAGAGTTGGAATGTTTTCTGTGAGGAACAGCTGGGAGGTCAGTTTGGAGAATAATATAGAATAAGGCTGGAAAGGCAGGCTAGAGCCAGGCTGGAAAGGGCTTTAAATGCCAAACAGGTTTGTTGAGACAAAAAGCCATCGTAGACTCTATTAGAAATGACAGCGATTATTTTTTGCTGCCCAGATGACCCCAGATCCACACCCCACACACAACAGGAGAGCTGGCTAATACCCTTCCCCCCTTCTGGGACAGCAGCCCTTTGGTAGAGGTAGTTGGGGTGGGAGTGGAAGAGGGCTCTCTCAGTGCTAGGTCTCACCTGTGATCTTGGGGATACCCTCCAGCCGGGGAACAGGCAGCAAAACAATGATGCCTTGGTCAGTGCCCACCCAGAGCTGGCCCTGGCAGATGAGGAGGCTGGTCACACAGACATGCTTCTGGCCTGGAGGACAGATGAGAAGGGCAAGAACGGTTAGGGCTTTGTGGTTATGAAAGAGAGCTATCAAGACCTCATGAGCTGAGCCTTCAGTTTGCGGTCAGGAAAACCTGGGTTCAAATCCCACTTGTCCCTGTCGGCTCAGTGACTGCAGGCAGACCTCCTCTCTGAGGGAAGGGCTGAGGTGCTCCTGGGTGGAGGGCACCCCAACGCTGACAAAATCACAGGCCCTTGACGTACTGATGTAGGGTTGGGGGGACGATAATAATCCTGCCTCCCTCCCAGGGCTGTTGTGAGACCCAGATGAGGTAATCTGTGTAAAGCACTTTGTAATTCTTAAATCACCGAGTACATGCTAGTTCTTACATTACTGGTGAAGCAAGATAACATCCCTAAAGTGCTTTGCAAATTTTAAAAAATACTATGAGAGGGACGGGGAAAAATTTAGAACTCCCAATCTTATAAAAAGTGAACGTTGAAAACTAAAAGTAATTAATTTTAAAAAATAAATAAAAGTACCATAAGATATTAACTACTGCTGTTATTGTTAAAGCCATTTATATCCATTATATCACAGGATCCTCACATTACTCCTGGGAGGAAGGCAGTGCAGGTTTTAATTTAATTTTAATTTAATTATCCCCATTTTATAGATGAGGAAACTGGGGCTCAGATATGGGAGATATGGGCTTCCTTGAGGAAGCACGGCACAATAGATTGCTGGATTTGGCATCAGAGGACCTGGGCTCCATCCCAGCTTTATAGAATATACTCTATGTGACCTTGGACAAGTGCTTTCAACTCTCTGGGCCTCAGTTTCCGTCTGTAAAATGATGGGGTTGAGCTAGATCAGGGCTCTTCAACACTTTTTGTGTCTTGGATCTCCTTGTGTTTTCAAATGCATAAAATAAAATGTCAAGGATTACTAAGGGAACCAGTTAGGTCAATATCAATATTAAAATATTTTTTTAAAAAGTTCATGGACTCCAGATTAAGAAACTCTGGACAAGACTGATCTCTAAGGTCCCTTCCAGCTCTAAATGCCATGACTTATCATTATCCCCATTTTACCGAGAAGGAAGTTGAGGCTCAAGACAAGGGTGTGACTTGGCCAAGGTCACAAGGTTAGTGAGGGTTGGGAATCGGGCCTGGCATCCAGGCCCTGATTCATAAGCTGGGCCTTCCTGTTAGAGAACGCTACTTTTTCTTTTGACCTCTGGGTTAGAGAGTAAGTGCTAGGCAACATAGTGTACAGGACAATGCATGTAGGTGTATGCTGATAAATGTGAAAAAAACAACTTCTTTCCACCTTTAAGTTTATTTTAATTGCATTATTAGCAATTTCTCTATTATTTTTAAGTCTAGACAATCAGTAATAAATAACTTATCATTTGGATCATTAAAGCAAGCCTTGATCTATAGCATTTGCCAATTTCTAGGGCATAAAATGCTCACCCTGAACATTTAACAATCGGCTCCCTGGTTAGAGCTGGCTCCATCATCTCCCTAGTTGTTATCATCCCCATCATCACAGCACCTTAAGGTTTACCAAGAACTGTGCATGCATTATCTCCTGCACTATCTCACAATAACCCTATGAAGTGGGTTCTTCTTACTATCACTGGTATTTTATACATAGGGCACCTAGGTGGCACAGTGCCAGGCCTGGAGTCAAGAAGACTCATCTTCCTGAGTTCAAATCCTACCTCAGACACGTACTAGCTGTGTGGCCCTCGGCAAGTCTCTTCACCCTGTTTGCCTCAGTTTCCTCATCTGTAAAATGAGCTGGAGGAAGAAATGCAAACTGCTCCAGTATCTCTGCCAAGAAAACTCCAAATGGGGTCACAGAGCTGGACACCTCTGAAAAACGACTGAACAACACAATCTTACAGAGGCTGAGAGAGATTAAGTGACTTGTTCTGTGTCACAAAGCCAGGTAAACAAGGGGTGGCTAAGCCTTCATTGCCCCCCATAGACAAGGAACCAGCAGCTGGAAGGGGTTAGATTTCCCCCTGCCCCTCCTTTCCCTGGAGGTCTGTATTCCCATCACCGGGTACAGTGCATGGAACATGGTGAACCCTCAATAGCTATTTGCTGAATGACTGATTGAAGTCCATTTGTCAGAGATGTTGGACAGGTGCTGCTCATTAGGGCAGGGGTTGGGCCAGAGGCCCGCAGAGGTTCCTTCCAGCCTCGAATCAGGGATCAGGGCAGATGGGGCTGGCCCAGGTGCACAGGGACTGGCCAGCTCAGCCTGGCCTGGTTAAAGGAGGCCCCAAGGGCCCAAGAGCTGCCCGATTCCAGAAGGAGCAGAGAAGGACGGCAGGGACTGGGGGTGGAGCAGGGCGGGGAGAATCACAAGAGCTGAGGGTGTACCAACAAACCCTCGTGAGGCATGATTTCCAGGCTCCATTTTACATTCTGGATGCATGGATGCCTCTGCTTTGCTCAAAGAGCGCACCCTGTTGTTTCCAGGCACAGACAATGAAATGGGATAATTCGCTGCCGTGAATTAACATGTTTCTGATGTCAGGCCGGATTAGGTCTTGCTGCATGATCGGGCCGTGCTGTCTCCTCCTTTTAGGAAGAGCAGTGGTCTTGGGAAAGAAGGCAAGAGGCGGGGCGCTGTGAGGTGGGGCTGTATGCTTTACAGATGGGGCCCTGGGACCCCTCCAGGCTGGAAAAGAACCTGGAAAGTGGTATAGGGAGGGCAGGGAGGAGGGTACGATCATAGCACGTGGGACTTGGGAGGGACAGCCGATGGGCCAACATAACCAGGACCATGGAGAGGGCTGTGTGGTGCATCGGATAGGGCGCTGGCTTTGGAGGCATTTGGAGAGGATTATTATTATTATTATCATTATTATTACTGACGATGATGATGACAGGAGCTAACATTTATACAGCACCTACTATGTGCCAGGCACTGTACCAAGCACTTTACAGTCATAATCTCATTTGATCCTCACAACACCAAGAGGTAGAGGGTATTATTATCATCCCCATTTTATGGATGAGGAAACTGAGGCAGATAGAAATGAAGTGGCTTGCCTAGGGTCACACAGCTAGTTAACTGTCTGAGGCTGGATTTGAACTTAGGCCTTCCTGAGTCCAGGCCTAGTGCTCTATCCACTGCATTCCTACTTCACATACTTATGAGGAAGGTCCCCTGACTCTAAAGCTAGTACTTAGGCCTTGGATAGCCTTCTCCACCACCCCAGTCCTGCTCTCCCCTATCACTACAAAACTAAACCAAAGGTATTTAAATCAATCTGCCCAAATCATACTTGTGGAATTTTTGTTGTTGAGTCCTTTCAGTCATGTCCAACTTCCTGTGACCCCATTGGAGGTTTTCTTGACAGAGATACCGGAGTGGTTTGCCATTGCCTTTTCCAGCTCATTTTACAGATGAGGAAACTGAGGCAAACAGGTTAAGTGATTTGCCCAAGGTCCCACAACTAGGAAGTGCCTGAAACCAGATTCGAACTTGGGTCCTCCTGACTCCAGGGCAGGAGCTCCATCCATTGCATCACCCAGCTGCCTCAGTTCTAATTGTAGAATACATATGGGAAATCTCACAGCAGGGATAGAATGGGGGGGAGGGAGCAAAAGGAGGGGTCTATTTTTACCTCTAAGGCATGACTGCCGTCTGCTACCTTACACCCCAATTGTTGATCCGGCCATTGGGTAATACAATACAATGGGAGGGAATATCCCCAGGGCCTTGTAAGTAATTAATAAGGGTCTATTGAATTTGAAGAGCACAGAGGAAAGGGCTCAGGCTGAGGAGATTTTACAGCCTGGCTCTGCCCCTTAGTAGCCATGAGACCTTGGGTTAGTCACCTTTCTAAGCCTCACGTTCCTCATCTGTAAAACAGGGAAAATAATCCGAGCTCTCCTGCCTAGGTTGCTGTAAGGATGGAATAAGATGATGGATGCAAAGCGTGTCCACTATGAAATGCTGGTGATTACATTATATGCCCTAATAGACCATAACATGATAACACAATAAAGTTCTTTGTCCCTTTGTAAAGAAAATGTGCTTTTAATTCAGAGGGTCATGGGTATTATTGAAACAAATGTGAGAACAGAGCAATATTAGAATCAAGGCAGTGACTGACGAGAAAAATGGAGCTATGTCGAGTCTGCTGTGGAAGGCGGAAGAGCCAGGAAGCTCTTAGAGCAGCAGGCGAGGAGGCTGTGATGAGGAGATTCCCATCCAACAGGTGATGCTCAGCATTAGGTCTTGGTAGGAGTCATAGGGCCCATCAGAGTGTGTGTTAGGATTAGCCTGGTGTAGTGGAAGAGGACCAGCGGGGGAATCGGACTACCTGGGTTTGAAGCCCAGCTCTCTCACAAGCTCACTATGTGACCTTGGGCACAGGATTTCTCCTCTCTCAGCCTCAGTTTCCTCCTCTGTAACATTAGATGGTCAGACTAGATGGTAACTAAGGTCCCTCCTAGCTCTACTATTCCCCTTGGCAGAGTTCTAAGGGCCCTCCCAACTCTGCCATCCTGGGTTCTAAGGGCCCTCCAAGCTCTGACATTCTGCATTCTAAGGGCCCTCCCATCTCTGACATTTTGTGTTCTAAGGGTCCTCCTAGTTCTGACATTCTGTGTTCTAAGGGCCCTCCCAGCTCTGACATTCTGTGTTCTAAGGATCCTCTCAGCTCTATGATTTCCGATCCGAAAACATAAACAAACATCAGTGTTTACACGAGCATGTATCTCTGACATCCCTCCCTATCCCACCTGGTCCTGGGGCATCTGCTGCTCAGAGGTGATTTTCTAGTGATTTGGTGCCCTCATAAAACCTCCTAGAACAAGCATTACGAATCTCAAGTCAACTCCCTCACCCCACCCCTCTCTGCCCCAGGACTTATGGACAGATTTCAAGGGGTCCATGAACTTGGATGGGGGGGGGGAGGAACAAATAATGACAGCTTTACTTTCACTATCCTCTAACTGAAATTTAGCATTTCCCTCAGTTATTTATAAAACCATGACTGTGAGAAGGGTTCCTGGGCATCACAAGACTGCCCTAGGAGACCAGGAGACAAGGAAGGTTAAGATCTCCCAGCCCCAGAAGGTCCCAAGTGATGAGTCTGGTAGTGGGAGGTAGGACAGGAGGGTAAGCAGAGAATACAGAGGGAATCATGCTAGGAGAATGACTTGTCTGCAGACCCCATCCTGGGGCCCCTCTCTGACTCCCGATCTCCCCCATCTCTCCAAGGAAGACAGAGAGAGAGAGACATTCACAAACAGTAAGGGGGAGGGGGGGTTCTAATGGTGGATAAATATTTTATCACAGAGAGTTCATGCTGCAGTGTTCGACTCACAAAGCCATCTATCTGTAGATATACAACTTTAAAAAGCTCTGGCTCTTGGAGAACATTTTATTAATGACCTGTCTTGTTAAGAGGAGGAGGGAGTTAAGGTTCAGAAATGCATTAATACCAGTCAGACATTCGACTGGAAAGGGGGGGGATAGGAGAAAGAAGTGTGATAAATTTTTAACATGGTCGAAAAAAAAAGGCCACATTTACAGGAGAAACAAATTTATTACTAATTATGCAATTACTTCATTTGGTGATGTGGGGGAAAGAAAAAAAATACTTAAAAGCCTTTAAAAATATGCCTAATAAAGAATTTAAGAATCCTGCTTAATCTTTCTGGCTGGAAGGGGAAAATTGGTAAGAAAACAGTCCGTACATTGCTCTAGAACAATCCACACAGTGGTCTAGAAGACTTTGTGTGCTGGCCTACAACAACTCCCACATTGGTCTAGAACTGTGGTATCAAACTCAGATAGAAACAGATCCCCATAAGTCACATATTAACTTCATTGTTCAGTCGTGGCCTACTTTTCGTGACCCCATTGGGGGTTTTCTTGGAAGAGACGCTGGAGTGGTTTGCCATTTCCTGCTCCAGCTCATTTTATAGATGAGGAAACTGAGGCAAACGGTAAAGTGACTTGTTCAGGGTCACATAGCTCATATCTGAGGCCAAATCTGAACTCAGGAAGATGAATCTTCCTGACTCCAGACCCTGCCCTCTAGCTACTGTGCCATTTAGCTCCCCCACATCTTGACTTAGAAAATCATAAATTAACATCAGCTACGTTGTCCTGTATTTTCATTTATTTTGTGAAACACTTCCTGGTTACATTCTGATCTGGTCTGGGCTGTACTCAGGAGTCGTATCGGTCATGAGTTTGATAGCTCTGGTCTAGAATGGCTCACTCTTATCTTGAATGATGGTCTCCAATGGCTCATGTGCTGAGCTAGAATGGTGATCTCCAATGGCTTGTGTGCTGACCTAGAATGGCTCACATGTTGGTCTAGAATAGTGATCTCCAATGGCTTACATGTTAGTCTACAATGGCTACACATGCTGGTCTGGAACAACCCACATGCTAGTCTTCAATAACCCTTGTTCTGCTCTGGAACCACTCATGTGGTGGCCTCCAGATATTATCCTTCATTTCTACCTGTGGACAAAGGGACCTACCCAAAGGGCTTTGGAGTACTGACCAATAATATGAATAAGGCAGAGAAGAAACAGAAAGAAACAAAACCCAAATGAGATTGGATCTGGTCAGCCTCCTTCCTACCTGGTGCCTCAAAAGATACTCTTCTCTAGAACACAGAATCAATCAATTCCAATACCTCAGAGCTAGAGAGGGCCTTGGGTCCTCTATAAAGTACAGCTCCTGCCTAAAGCAGGAATCTCCTCTGTCACATCCTTAGCAAGTCTTCACTCAGACTTTGCTGGAAACTTTCTAGGGACAGGATACTCACCCTACCTTATAATATAGCCCAATCCACCTTTGGACAACTCAGATTGTTAGAAAGTTCTGTCTATGGAGCCAAAATCATGGTACAGTAGAAAGTGTCCTAGACTTGGAATCAGTGGACCTGGGTTCGAATCTCAGTTTTGCTACTTCCTGGGCAAGTGGCTATATTCCCCTGGGCCTCAGTACCTATCTATCCAATGAGAGAGTTGAGATGGCCCCAAAGATTCTTTTGCCAGCTCTAAAATCTAGGATTCTGTCATCCTCCTGTGGGTGACTTCCTTTAGGTCACACAGATAAGTCTTTTTCACCACTATACCTCTTTTGATAGATAAGGACAGCTATCATGTTCCCCCAGTTTCCCGTTCTCTAGGTGAAGTAGCCCTCCCCATTTTCTTAATGATATAGGTTCCTCTTGGTTTGAAGACTGAGGCTCTCCTCCCCTAGGCTGCAACTACCTACCCTGTCCTGAGAGAGAAAGTGACAACCCTTTATAGGCTCAGCATATGGGTGTGTCAGACTGAGCACCACCAGCCAGCCCAGACCATCTGGCTGGATCTTGTAGCAATTAGCTCAGTCCCCATCATCCTCATGCTTCTGGCCTCCAGGCTCTAACTTTGCAGGTCCCAGGGCCCTCTGAAAGCACTTAGGTACCAAGCCTGGCTGTGGACAAGATAGCAGAAACATGACCCAGCAGCTGGTGCCCTCTACAACACACCGACTTCTTGGCTGAGGGCATCTCAAGCCTGGGTTCTGTCCATCTGGTGGAAACTTTAGGAAGCATTAGGCCTCAAGGTGGACAAATAAATACTCATTTTGGGGAAGGGGAGCTTCTGCCTGCTTCATCAAGGTGGGCAGCTCTGCCATTGGACCAGGAAAGACAGAGACAGAGCCCTCAAGCCAGATGTCAGCCCTGAGCTCCCTGGTAGAGCCTACCCGGGCTTGGGAAGCTTTCCTAGAAAAGCAGAGGGAGTCAAACTCTGGGATGCCTCTGGGAGGGCATGTTGATTATAGCATCCAACCTCATTGCCCCTATGAATAGAATCACACAATTATAGGGTTTAGAGCTGGAAAAGATCTCAGAGGCCAAATCTTCTCATTTTAAAAATAAGGGAATGGCTAGGAGGGGTTCAGTGATTCACCCCAGGTCACACATAGGTTGAGATTCAAGTCCACCCCCTCCGACTCCAAAAGTGGTGCATCATTACAACTGACCCTTTTTCACTTCTTCTTCAGAGGTCATCCTGTCATCATCTGTGTCCTGATGGAAACTAGTCAATGACTTGGGGGTTTCTAGGAAATTGATCAATAATTTCCCTTCTCAAATAAATAAATAGAATTTTAATTAAAAAAATTCTCTCCTCCAGCATTCATCATTGAGCATCAGCCCAACCAAGCCATCAGACTGTGGTTCTGTCTCTAAGGGCTGCCCAGGAGAGCCAGAGCTGGTTAAGGGTAGCGAATGATCCCCCTACTCTGGGAGTGGCAAGACCCCAGATTCATCAATAACCAATGAGTTCCCTCTTCCCTTCACTGCCCTGCTATGAGTTCTCCCACACTTTTCCCTTTCAAGGCCACCTTGGATTCTTATGACCTGCTTTTACATGGATGAACATGATAGAGGGGGAAGAAGAGGCATGGAAAGGTCTAGGTTAGATCACCATGCATCCTCAGAGGCTTGGCCATCATATCCCAGGCATTCTAAAGCTTCCTCTAACAACCCCTTCTGCAGTGGGTATGGACTTATGTGCTTGGTCTGTACCACAACTAAGAGAAGCAACATGTTTGAAGCCAGTTAATAGGACAGAGAATGTCACAGCCAAGAGGGACCTTAGAACATAGACTGCAGGAGATGGAAGGAACCTGAGAATGTAGTTTATCAGAGTTGGAAGGGATGTTAGAACATAGACTGTAAAGACTGAAAAGGATCTTCGAATGTCAGATCTGAGACTGAGAAGGACCTTAGAACAAAGGCTGGGGTGGGGTAGAGTGGGACAAAGAAAGCCAGAGGTGGGAGGGACCTTAGAACAGAGAATGACAGAACTGGGAGGGGTCTTAGAACACAGAATGTCAGATCTGGGAGGAACCTTAGAACACAGAACGACAGAACTGGGAGGAACTTCAGAACACAGGATGTCAGATCTGGGAGGAAACTTAGAACACAGAATGACAAAGCTGGGAGGGCCCTTAGAACCCAGAATATCACAAGTTAGAGGGATCTTATAGACCTTATCTAACCTTCTTATCAGACAAATGAGGAAGTTGGAGAGACAAGATCTTAGCAGTCAAGATGTCTACATAGACACACTATACCTGTGGGGTTCTAGGCTTTAGCTTACCTGGCATGAGGAAGGTGGTCCGTGTGGCAATGTTGATTTCCTGGAGATGCTCAAGAGTCTCCGTGTGGAAGAGTCGAATGGAGGCTCCCAAGGAAAAGGCCATCCAAACCCCACTGCCCGCCTTCACCATATGTGTCACGCTGGCCGCCTCATCCTGGTGCGCCTCAAAGCTTTGCTGTAACACACAGGGAAGGTATCAAATGTCAGGAGAGGGTGACCAGACCCAAGCTGGAGAAAGCCAGCGCTCCCCCACCTCAGGGCTGACAGACCCTGGCCCAGGACACACCTGTGGCCAGGACAATATCCTCCTAGGAAAAGGAGATGACCAACATGACCACCCCCCTCCTGCCTCCCACCCCTCTGACATGCCCACTCTCCCACCACCATCTCTGCATTCCCTGCTGATATGGAGGTCTGGAAGATGGGAGCAATCCAAGCAGAGGAGAAGCCGGCAGTCTCTGCCAGCCTGCCTCCGCACCCCCAGCAGCCTCAGGGGGAGGGAAATGAATGAATTCAGCACTCATACCCAATCAGGATGCAGAGCCCCAGAGGACGAGATCTCAAGATGTCCAACAAAATTGCTTTTCTAAGACAGCACTGATGGCGCAGTAGGGAGACATACGGGTGGCAGGGAGGGGGGAACATTAGGAAAGGAGGGGAGAGGACCGCGGGGAATGGGAGCAATATTTGGCTCCCTGGAAGAAGGAAAGCAGGTGAGCAGCTACCCAAGAAGAGGATGGCAGGCCCATCCACGGAGGCCAAATGCTCTGGAGGCCTTACACTCCACTGTGGTGGTAAGAAGTATCCCCAGGGTGGGGATGGTTCCTGCCCATCAGACCAGAGGCTCTGGGAGGGCTGGGAGTATGCCTCCTCCCTCAAATTGGAAGCTCCCAAAGGGCAGGGAGTGCACCTTCCTCCCCCCAAGACTGGGAGCATCTTGAGGGCATGGACTTTATCTCCTCCTCCCCTCTCCCACTGGCAGCTCACAGAGGGTAGGAGTTGTCTCCTCCACCTGTCTGCCCCATGGCATCTGGGCACTGATTATGGTACAGGATGGGCTGTTGTGGGCCTCTGTGGTTGGGGGGGGTTAGAAGCCTCTCCCAAAGAGCCCAGCAACAAGGAGGAAGAAAACATAATCGTCACTCAGCTCCCCCAGAGCCAATGAAGGCACCTCGTGTTTTGCCTTGTACCCCTACCGGCTCCCCACAGCCCTGGACAACCATAAGCTATCACTTTTCCTTCTAGACAGGCATCTGGCCCATTCCTGCAAGGAGATCTACATTTGTTCTCTGCCTGGAGATCAACCCTCATTTTTACACATTGGCCTTCGAGGTCCAGAGAAGGGAAGTAATTTGTAAATCATCACACAGCCCGCAAGGAGAGTCGGTATGTGAAGCCAAGGCTTCTAATGTCAAACTCTTATAGCAGACAGCCTAGGCTGGAACCTGGGGAGACCTATCAAATCCTAGTGCTCTTAACTACCTCCGTGTCTTTGGACATGTCACTTCACCCCAACTGTAAAATAATGACGGTGGACTAGATGTCCCCCATGCAAGTCCCCTTTCTTCTTTTACAGGAAAATGGGCTAAGGCTCATCGAGGGGAGGTGGCCAGCGAAGGTTACACAGACTGAGCTTGAGATGAAATTCAGACCCAGGTTCTTCCTTCCCCTCTTCCACCCTTACTCCCCGAAAGCAATTCTGGACCTCAGAATGTCTGGTAACCTTCATCTTACCCATAGTGAATAATCTCTCAGTAAAACTCTCAATTAAAGTGATAAATCATTAATCAAATTAAATGCTGCCATGCAAGGTCTAATCTAAATTCTCATGTGTCAGGCATATCAATTATGATGCTGAGCTGTTAAGAACCACAGGCGGGATTCCTCCTCTCTCCATTACTACTGTCAAGCTGTCCTCTTTTCATCAAAATCTGCCATATGGGAGACACCTCAGCTGGAGACGGGGATCTAGCAAATCCTCGCTTAACAAGCACCAGCCTCATGAGAACCCAGCTCAGGTACCACCTCCTCCATGAAGCCTTCCCGGAGACCTCTTGCTCCTCAGATTTTCTTATAGCACTTTTATATAGAGCTCTCCACTGTCCTGATCACAGGTCAATGACTCCAATTAATCAATCTATTAATCAATAAACATTTACTAAGTGCTTATTATGTACCAGGAACCATGCATAGATGGCTCGCTTATCAAAGACCCAAACTGCACAAACTGATAAACTAGATAACAGAACAGGGGTTCCAAAAGGATCCAGGCAGTTCTGAATATTAGCCCAAATGCCCTATGACAAAAGGCAGTAGGAATAAATGTAAAATGCTGCATTTGGGTTCAAAAAATCATCTTCCCAAGTAAAGATTAATAGCACTTTATCTGAAAAGAGATGAGGGTACTGGTGAGCTGTGACCTCACTAGGAGTCAGTGGTGCCACGACGTTTTTGGGGGAGGGGAACGGTTGCTTTCCAGTAATAGCCAGCAGTGGCTTTGAAGCAGGGTTAGGTTTATCCTGTTTAACCAGCAAGCTTATCAGGTGCCAGGGACCATGCTTAGTACTAGGATACAGGGACCAGCAGAATAGCTCCAGAGGGAAGAACTACACACAATGAGCAGAAATTCTAGAGAAGATGACTCAGGTTTGACATCAGGGAACAACACTGAGCTGTGGCAAAGTGGAATGGATAGCCTTAGGAGGTCATGGGCGCCCTCTCCTCCCTTTTTGCCCTTCTTTCTCCCCCTCCTGACTCAGCTTCTGCCTTTTTAGACTTGGCCAACAATGCCTCAACATCTGGGGCCTCCTCACTCAGAACACTCATGAAGCTTTTCAACCTTCTCACCTTAGGAGATCCCTCTGCCTTGTTGGCCCCCTCTTCTCTCCAGCCTCCGTTTTGAGGAGGTTCCCAGGCCAATCCTTATTCCTTCAGTGGCTTTGCTTCTGCCCCCACAGCGGGCACCTCCACCCCTCCCCCCACTTTCCAATTCCCTCTTTGTGTCCTGCATTTCCCCATTAGAGTGTAAGCTCCTTGAGGTCTGTTTTTTTCTTGTATTGGCAGCCCAAGCACTTAGCACAGTGCCTGGCACACAGTAAGCACTTAATATATGCTTGCTGCCTCCCCTTGCTATGCATTGCCTGGCCCTCAGTTGAGGGCTTCCAGCAAAGGGTTGGATTATTGTTCGGGTACCAATTAGTCTCCATGGCCTCAGGATTCCAATCTACCTCTTAGAGGCGATGATTCCTACTATCAGACCATAAGCTCAGGGCCTATGTCATTTCCCATCTTTGCCTTCCTAGGGTAGAACATTGCAAATATTGTGTCTATAATAGATCCTAATTCAAGGAAATCTTCAATTCCTTAGCCCTCCAATGACATTGCTGCCTACTTTTATGTTTCCATAAGACCCATGACACCCTTCACCCTTATCCCCAAACTCAGGCACAGAGTGGTACTGTTTCTTGGAGGTGTCACAGCAAGATGGACAGGGAGACAAGATGGGGATCCAGCCCATAGGATGCCAGGGCTAAGGCCTCTGCTGGCACACAGCTCTACGACAGAAGGCATAAGTATCCCTGCTGAGGCCAGTGGATCAGAGGAAATCACAGAATGTCAGAGGTAAGGGGGAGTTTAAAACAGAGACTACCAGGGCTAAGAGGACCCTTAGAACACAGAATGTCAGAGCTGGGAGGGCCCTTAGAACACAGATGTCAGAGCTGAGAGGGCCATTAGAACACAGGATGTCAGAGCTGAGAGGACCCTTAGAACACAAAATGTCAGAGCTGGGAGGGCCTTTAGAACACAGGATGTCAGAGCTGGGAGAAGCCTTAGAACACAGGATGTCAGAGCTGGGAGAGGCCTTACAACACAGAATGTCAGAGCTGGGCGGGCCCTTAGAACATAGATGTCAGAGCTGAGAGGGCCCTTAGAACACAGGATGTCAGAGCTGGGAGGGCCCTTAGAACACAGGATGTCAGAGCTGGGAGGGCCCTTAGAACACAGATGTCAGAGCTGAGAGGGCCCTTAGAACACAGGATGTCAGAGCTGGGAGGGCCCTTAGAACACAGATGTCAGAGCTGAGAGGGCCCTTAGAACACAAAATTTCAGAGCTGGGAGGGCCTTTAGAACACAGGATGTCAGAGCTGGGAGAGGCCTTAGAACACAGAATTTCAGAGCTGGGAGGACCCTTAGGACACAGAATGTCAGAGCTGGGAGGGCCCTTACAACACAGAATGTCAGAGCTGGGCGGGCCCTTAGGACACAGAATGTCATGGCTATGAAGGATCCTAGGGACACTGAGATCTGAGAAATCCTAGTTAGCCTCCCTCCATTTTAATGAGGAAGAAGCTTAGGCTCAGGTCTGTTCAGCTACTTGCCCCAGGTCACTCAACTAGAAAGGAGCAGATCTTCATGCCCCACGTCCAGCCACCTTTCTGCTGACCAGCAGCAGCACCTGCCTGCCCCAGAATCACCAAGCTGAGCTAAAGTCAAAGTGTTGGTCCAGAATTAAACTTGATCTGAGGCAGTGGGCACAGGCCTCCCCTGCCTGCATGTGATCTCTTAGAATTCAATTAAATACAAATACAGCCGAGAAATCTATTCTGGTTTCTTTGGAGCAGTAACAAGCCTGCTTCTGGCCCTGGTGGGACTTTAAAAAGGTATTTGCAAGCCTGCTGAAGTCAGAGGGGAATTAACGGTAATCCATTCCCTTCCAGAAACATCTGGGGTTTGTCACACCAAACATGACCTCATCCCTCACAGAATGGACATGGGTCCCTATTTCCAAACATATCTCTTCACATCAACACACACACACACACACACACACACACACACACACACAAAATCAAGTCATTGCAGGCTACTGGAAGGCAGAGACAACTTAGGTCCATGGAAAGAAGACGAAGTCAGTAGATATGAGTCCAAATCCCAGCTCTCATGCTGACTAACTGATCACTTAACTTTTCCAGCCTTGCTTCTTTTTAAAAAAATCTATAAAATGGGGCTCATATTTTTCTTGCAGAATGGTGAGAAGAGGGCTGACAAAATGAAAGTTATTGTTAATAACCATCCTCCAGAGTCTCACTACATGTGTCAGAAATAAAGAACCTGGTTAAAGATGGGGGCAGGCAAAGCTGTTTGCAGGTATCTGGAGGAAGGAACTAGCAAGAG